TAAGACAACAGGCACTAAGCATAATTCCTATGGTGACCAAAGAAGGTCCATCTTCACAACAACACCCTGATCAAATGATGACAGAAGATATTGCTGCAGAATATGCAGGTAATCAGGGGGAGATTCCGACCACAAGAGTAGGTGAATTTGAACATTCTGCATCTGAACATGTCCAGGGATAATCATCAGAAGACAGGCCAATACTTCAACTTCTGCTCAAAATTAAAGACAAGCAGTCAATTCTGGAAGAAGATATGAAGAATCTTAAGATCCTTGTTGAGGACCACAGTAAAAATCTTCGTCTTCAAGCAGAACAAGATAAAACAGATCTTGAAAAGGCCATTACTCAATGTTCCACCAATCTGGAGCAAGCTATTGGTCAATGTTCTCTCCAAATTGATGACACTGTTCAAATCCTGGAAAATTTTCAACTCGTTCGCACACCTTCTAAAAAATAGTCTGCTCTATCTCCCTATTGCTTAAAACTTTATTTTCAGATGTTTAACTTAAACTATTACCTTCATTTAGTTTGATCTGTGTAACTGACATTTATCTATTTTTTATCATTAATTATCTATTTTTTGCTGCTGACAAAAAGGGGGAGAATATACATTGTTGAGGGATGCATGATATCTTTATGCAAACATAATACAAATAGGGATGCATGAACAAGTTATTGGAAAGCAGATTATTGGATGGACTTGAAGAAAAGGACACAGATCTTATATTTTGCACTTACATTTATTTGTACCTTATGCGCTTAAAAGTTATTTTATTCTCAAATCTTATCAAATTTTTTTTTGATCTGCATGGAAGTTTTGTCACCATAAAAAAGGAGGAGATTGTTGAGGAAACTTCCTGATTTTGTAGTTGACAAAACTATTCATGATTAACTTGTAAATCTGATATGTACTCTGAAGTATTTTGATCTAGGTAAATATATTCTGGAAGAGGTAACTTTAATACTTCAAGAGAATTTAGCTTTCTGGACGCTCAGACTCTACGAGGTTCAGAAGGAAAACTTCAGACTCTACAAGTTTCAGAACGAGAAGTTCATACCTTACTGATATATACACTTAGAAGTTATCTTAAAGTGTCAGAGAACTTCAGACTCTTTGTGAAGGACTCGTAATTTACTAAAGACCTACGCTGACTCAGGTTCTGAATGTAAAGTAAGAACCAGAAATTCTTCAGACTCAGAATTTATTCAGAACGAAACATAACAGCTGGTGATCTGGCTTTGATTTCACAAAAGGAAAGTTTTGATTGACTCAATCTCAACCTAATTGATTGACAATCAAACATTATGACAAGTATGCATTACAACGGATAAAGCTCTACTTATGGAAACTAAGATTCTGATTGTGTGGACGACCAGAATCAACGAAATTCAAATTTTGTCAACCAACGGCCATTCAATCCATTTTATACAAATCTGTCCAAGATGAAGATTGGAAGATGATCCTCTGAAGACTGTCCAACGGCTGGTTTGGAAGTGGAGGAGTATAAAAGGAGATCTACGATGAGCAGAAAGTGTAGTACGAAATCGAGAATCAACAAGTCCAAAGTCTAAGCATACTCCGATCCTTTCTCTTGTCTTTCTTGAGCTAAATATTAAGATCTTGAGGGATACTTTGTAAGAGTGACTGTGTGAGATAGAGAGTCCTATCATACACAAGAGTGCTGTCACTCAGAATATGTAATTCCTCTTGATTACATAGTGAAATCCAACCAGTAGGCTGTCAGCGTGGGAGAGTGGACATAGGCTTGCTATAAGCCGAACCACTATAAACTTGTGTGCAGTTTTTCTATCCCTTATCTCTTACTTTACATACTGCACATCAAGAGCACTGTCTATATAAACTGTTTTGAATCGGAATTTTATTCAGACTCAACTGTGATCAACCATTTCCGCTATAAATTGATCAAAATTGTTTAAGATCACCTATTCACCCCCCCCCCCCCTCCCTTCTATGTGATCCTTGCTAGCTACATCACATTCTTACATTCCTCGTACACAAATATTTTCATCTAAATATTGCCAAAAATCACAATAATTAAAAAAAGTTGCAAAAAATTTGCGCGGCACAATGGTGAAAACAGTGTCGAAATCCGATGTCAGAGTACCAGCACGAGCCGCTCAAAGTTATTGTCTTCACGGCGGATGCAAAATTCACAAATTTTCAAAATTCCCATTTTGAGTTACTAATTTTAAGGACTCAATTCTCCCTCCGCATATAACCAAATCACGCGACTTTTGTGTTACTAAAAAGATCTCATCCAATACTATATGTTGGCGACAAGTATAGACCCTAAAACGTATCCAGACAGATTGCATTTTTGCAAGGAAGTCACCCATTCAACAACCTGCCACTACAACATTGTATGGTACTACCTGTCAAAAGGACTTGCCAGAATCTTGCACCATCAAGTCCTATTGATCCACGGTGAAGGGAAATATTCTTCGAGTGTAATTCATACTTTCCTCTGACAGGAAGACACGGGGGTCGCGCTCCTCTTTGTCCTCTTGTCTATCACAAGAAGGACAATATCCAGACGGTAACGGACACTCTCCGACGAGACTCGGACCTCTGGTGACTGCCTCCTCTTTGCCATCTTGCCTCTCTCTTCGTTTTTGTGAGAGAATATGCAACATCCTCTCCTCCCTTTTGTTTTCCAAACTTTTCCCTCTTTTCTTTTATTTCCTTCCTTTGTATTGAGATATTAAAATTTTGGGATAAGTACACTAAAAGTCCTAAAACTTGTCACGAAAGTGCAATTGAGTCGTAAAACTTTCAAAAAATACAATCAAGTTCTAAAACTTATCATGAAAGTGCAATCGAGTTCTCAAACTTTTAAAAAGTGCAATGAAGTCCTAAAACCTATCACAAAAGTGCAATTGAGTCATAAAACTTTCAAAATGAATAATCAATTTAAGGACTTGATTGGTCCAATTTGATAAATTTTAGATATTTATTGCACTTTTTGAAAGTTCTGGACTCAATTGCATTTTTGGGACAAGTTGTAAGACTTCCAATACACTTTTCCCTAAAATTTTATATTCTAAACTCAACAACATGAGTAAAAACGGCATAATTCAAGAGATTATTCATTTCAAATTAAGTAGAAACCAACCACCGCTTTGTATTCTTTCATTGATAATTGCGGTTAATAATAGAACAAACAAATTGTTAATGTATAAACATTTAATCTCCATTAAAGTAAATAAATAACTCTTATATAACTGCAAAATGTATTGACATTGTCATTTTGGGATGACAACACATACTCATATTTGTCAAGAGAAATAGTTTTATATATCACACGAGTTAAAAGTGTTCTCTAAGATTTAAAGTTGCTTACTATTTCAATAAAATATATGTGAATTAAGTACAAATATTCACGCACTTCTCGATTCTGTACATTGCTTGTACGATTGTTGTAGAAGTAAAGAACGAAGATTAACAAAGATAAAAATAAAAAAAAATTAGATGACTCACAAAAGCATAGATTAAACACTTATCTAATGATAATAGTGTCCAAGACAAGACACTCGACTAATTAGGGAAATATTACCCAACCAGTCTCAAACTTATTGTACAATTAACAATTCAGTCTTAAACTTTCCAATCTGACCAATATGGTCCTAAACTTTTACGCAAAATTTTAATATAGTTCTCTAACCAATTGCCATTGGAAAGCTCTAACGAGGCAATCCACAAGTTGTCCATGTTAGGGTGCCATGTAGAACGGTAGACGGTGACTGGATGTCACATCAACAATATCCGACAGCAATTAACCAGAAGGACAACATTGGAATTTTGGCGCAAAAGTCTAGAACTACAATAGCAAGATTCAAAAGTTCATAACTGAATTGGCATCCATACAATAAATTTAGGACATATTGGGTAATTACCCCTCCAATTAGTATAGAAATATTCATGTAAACATGTATGTTTCATGTTGTTCCTACCTTTAGCTTTGTGTTACTTCAAGCATAGGAGAGGTCTCCTACTGTCTCCTGCCATAGGAGGAATTGGTTAGAAAACTCTTTGGGGAGTTCAAGCACCAAATTCTTCCTAGTCCATTGTCCCAATCCTTTGATTGCCTGTGCTGTTGCTTTTTATTGCATACATAAGGATGATTGCTTACTTGCGAAGTAGATTAACCAAATGCAAATAGAGCGAGCTCCTTGGTTTTGGAACGTTGCACACTCGAATCAGTTAGCATATCATTCATGGGCGGGGATAATACACGTTATATGATCTTTGAGCAAGAGTCATCAGCTCGTGACAATAAGTTATAGTATGTTTATAGATCATGGAGACTAGCATAATCAATGATTCAAATGGATCCGATATATGTACTATGTAGATTGTGCAATATTTTTTCGACCTCTAGAATATGTTGATAGTTTGTTTGTAACATAAATAAAAATGAGTCTTCTCCCACATAGAAAAGATGTGAGTGTGTGGGCCAATATATAAGTGTGAAAGTCTTCTGATCTAATAATTGAAGACCATGGGCCAAGCAGGTTAGACCTTATCTTGAGTAGACCAAAATCGGCACTGATCATCGGTTGTTTTTACTACCTGTTATTTTTACTACCAGAATATGCACCTAAGTGAATGGGATTCGTTGGTGCAATGCCAGAATTTACCTGAGAACGGAAGCCTAAAGAGGGAATGTTTAATGCATGCAAGACACGCGTCTAGAATCATTGCAGCCGTGCCACCTTTGTCGTCTGCTACATACTACTGAGTTGTCTGTTTTCTCTTTTGGACGGAAGAACCAAAACAAAGAAGGGGAAAATTGGAACGTCCATTGATCAGCTCCAATTTCTCTGTCTCATAGTTGAGCTTGAGCTTCGCAAATGGCCAAAGGTAGAGGCCTGATGGGCCCTCTTTTGGTGGTGAATCTGGTGGTGTTTCTCATCATTCTGGGGCTCGCTGGTTGCTCTATCGACAAGTACATCAACGGCGAACAGACCCATCCTCGTATATGGAAAGGTCGTTGTGAAATACAAACTATTAAGTAACGAGTTTGAAACATGTCGACAAGTAGTCAAAAACATAAGAATGCTCGGAGAAAAATAACTGAGGTATCAGAGCTAGAGCAGTCTCAACTAACGGGAAGCAGCAGCATAGACATACAAACAAGAGAGAAATCCACAATTAGGATGGTGAAAGAAGGGATTGGACCCCAAACACTAGGAAGAGAATTCCACCTAGGACGGTCACCTGCACCAACAATCAAAAAGGTGAATGGATTGAGGACCACATAGAAGAAAGAAACGAATGTGTGAGCTGAGCTAAGTAGCAAAGATAAGGGGAATTACCAGCCTCTCTGATATCTTAGAAGCCAGGCTCTTTCCCCCTATAACAGCAGCAACTGTGCACAACACTTGCCCCCTGAAAAAATGACGAAAAAATTAAGCAGTAGGATCTGTCCTAGAGTGATGCTTGTATTCTCTGGTGGAAGAATTTCAATGTAGGCGGTGAAGAGAACAAATCAAGCTGCTCAAACAGCGGTCATGGTGACAAGATGTTAGTGACTATTATCAGAATTGCATTGTTTTGCACCAACACGAAATACTCAGTAGTTGCCAGATCAAATCCATGATTAGGTTAATCTATGTACAATTATACTTACACTATTCCACCGAGCACTACTCCCAAAGTGTCTTCATCAGCTGCCAAGCCGATTGTTGCTAGCTGCAGTATTTTACAGTTTTCAGATTGTTAAGCAGAGTGAATACTCTCAAAGATGTTTCTTGATTCCAAATTGTTATGCAGATCCCATAAGTTCAGAATTAGATGAGCACTACTTTGCGTAATTTACTCTGGCAGGCACTTTTTTACCTGGCTTTTGTCGCCCCATTCACCGAAGAAGGTGAGCGAGAATGCCTGCAGAGCAAATATCCTGAGTTAGGCTGGGTCTCAACATGTAGGTTTCGTGGAACCCAACCACAAAGTTCAATCTATTTTCATTTAGAAATAGCATTTCTCTGGAGAAAGGTGAAGTTGTGTTCAGCATGGGATAAAGGAATCACCTTAAGAAAGACAGGTGAGAAGAAGTAGGTGAGGAATGGCTTCTGTTTCTTCTTCAAGTTATCATCAGCCTGAGAAAAAAGAAAACGCGCGCCCAAAGAGTGTGATGAAGATGATCAGTTGAAACATTGGAAGCAGAAGTATGATCATTTCTTCAGTAAATTGGAGCAATGCCTGCACTTAAATAGACGGATATCAAAGTAGGTTAAGTTAAAGAATAAGAGCAAGGAGTCCACCTGAGAAGCTGCTTTTGATTTTTCAGAACTTGCCTTCAAATCCTTTTCCTGATAAACGCCAGAAACATGCAGGTCAATGATGATGCCTTTCTTTAAAAACAGCTTAAGGAGAGAGAGAGACAGAGAGAGAGAGAGGAACACTGACCAATTCCTTTTCTACTTCCTCCAATTCTTCATTATCACTGCCAAAAGAAAAGTAGTTTGCATAAAATAAAAGATTTACATTGATGCTACAACAACTAAACCCACCCTGCATTTTGTGATGGGAAGGGAAGGACAATAAAAGAGAGAAAAAGGCTTGAAAAGAAAATAAAAAGAGGAAAAAAATTACTCATCATCCTCTGTGAATCCTTCCCAGAGAGACCGGAGACCAAACAGGAAAAACAGGAACGTGGTCACATGATGTGACCATTCCTTTGAGAGCTGCTCGGTCAACAAAGTTAATAGATACCAACACATCTAATGAACTATGAATCAGTGAGAACTGAGAAGTGATTGTAATGCTGACCAGATTTGGAGCAGCCCAGCCAAGCAAAGCTGAGATCACTGTCATTGCCTAAATTTCGATCACAATAGCAAAATAGAAAGTTCAAGCGTTTACTTTGTAAATGAAATTATAGTGAAGAAATGGAACATAAAATGAGAAGTATGAGAAAGAATATGCTTACAGTTACTGAAACTAGGCATCCTAGCAAAACACTCTTCCTTGGATATCGCATTGCCAGAATCTAAAGAAGGCAGAGAAAAAACGGTGTTAACCTTACAAATGAACCGTGCATTCATGTCTGGTCTATTTCTGATTCAGTTTATAATAGCATGGAACCAGAGTCTATAGCACAGACATTAACCAAATGTCTGTGACAGAGTAGCTTCAACTTCTTATAACCAGACTGCAGCTGCCGATGTGAATTGTCAATGACTATTTGAGATGCATGACCGGGATTTCCCAAGATAGCATATAGTCGACATGACAACGGTGTCAATGCATCATGTATTGATGATCAACATGGGTTGAGTGCTAATATAGATATCATTTGTCGTATTAATAGTTCAGTCTTTTTTTTCATGTGAACTGCGTTGCATTTGCAGGATATTACCTTTTCTATTGAACTATGTATGCATCAGCGTGCCATTGTGCTCGGGAAATGCCATCGTAGAACTTGATCAAGATCAAGAGAACACTTGTAGATTCTACTATTTCATGAAAGAACAAGTTCCGGGTATTGGGGCAAGAAAACGAAATGAAATGCGAGGGCTTACAGCGGCAACGCAGAATGTCCGGTCGCCAACCTCGGAGAGCATATTCATGGCGAGTGACTTGGTGAAACCCTGAATCAGACAGCAGAAAGCCAAACATAAGTCACATCACATGCCAAGAACCGAACGAAAAGAAACTCCAAACACAGATATGAATCCAGAGAGTTCGATAAAAACTTGTACTATTATTAGAGAGGTCATTTTTTTTCTCAGCAACAGAAAAAGAGCTCTTAGCAGCAGCAACCCACAGAGAGAGAGAGAGAGAGAGCTTTGAAGAGAAATGAGCTACAAGAACTGTGAGTTATATTTGATTTCTAGTGAAGTTGTTAGAAGCTTCACGTTCTGTATGTCAACGCAAAGCTTTTCCCCGGAAGAGCTGAGCTGACCCTGTCATATAAAATAAAAGTTGTACAGCTTTGGTCGGCTTGCTTATTTCCTTTTCTAATCTTCTTGGCGATTGATTGGCTTCTCTACGTGTTACAGAGCGATGCATAAAATCTTGATGAGTAGAACGGTAGCTAAGTAGGAGAGATCATGGAGCGAAGGAATGAGCGAGGACGTTGTCATGTGAGGAAGGCGTTTTAGCACGAGAAATTATGGAGTGATGGAATAAGCGAGGACTTTGTCATGTGAGGAAGGCATTTGTTCGTCATCCCAACTCGCCCCAACACTTGTTTGTCTCCTCCCAAATAGATTAATCAGTTAATTATTAACTAATATAGAGAAATTAGGCTCCAAGTTTCGAGATTAACTTACCCGGCGACTTTAATTCCTCTTTTTTGACATAGGTTCGTGAGCTCGAGACAGATTCCATTCATTAATTCCTCTTATTTGACACAAGTTCGTGCACGCGAGACAGATTCCATGCATCTTGTTTCGATCTGTAAGACATATTGGGTGGACCGCCCAAGATGGGCCAAACCCGACCTGTGAGCCACAAGGGCCCATGAGGTAGTTATTTGTCTATCTATAATAGAAGGCACCCCTTGGAAAACAGACGTGATTTTAACATATGCAAACACACTCCTTCGATACAACGTATTCTCTGCTTTTGCTTTGGAACGCACGCGAGTACGAAAGACATTCGAAGAACTCTCAAGCGCAAAGTGGCACTTAATCTGTGACAATACCGGGTATGTTCGTTGTGTGATATACCTGTACAATCGGTGATACAAGTTGATGGTCCTCGAGCACGTTTTCCGCATTGATCGAATTCGTTCCGAATATGTTTCGAACGCAACGATCGGGGATTATGTTTTCCCAACATTGGTATCAGAGCCCGTTTACTTGTTTCCCGATCATGCATATGTATCGTCTGAAGTGTATACTGCTTGTTTTTTCGTTTTGGCCTCGTTTTTGTTCGTTTTCTTCGCGTCGCCGAACTGTTCATGCATGTTTCGATTTTTGTATTTTGTAAAAACTTGAATTTTATTGCATAAATAGAAAGTACTCGTCGAGACGAGCAAAATGAGGGGCGGCACGTCGCCGGAGGAGGCCGCACGCGCCCTCACGCGCCTCCAAGGGACTTGGGCGCGACGGCGCGTAAGGACCACGCGCGGCCGTGTGAAACGGCGCGTCGGTCGCCACTAACCGCCGACGATGACGTCAGCGTGACGTCATCGGGAGCGGACCGTGACCCGGCCCGTTGACCCAGACGCGGTTGAACGTTGACCCGACCCGGTTGACCGTTGACTGGTCAACGGTCGGACCGGTCGAACCGGACCGGTTCAAACCGGCAGAATGACCCAGTTATTTCTTTCGGCCCATTCGAGCTCATTTGAACTCTGATTTGGGCGTTCTTGGTATCGACGTGCTCGTATCGGAATGCTCTACGTTATGATGTATACATATTACATTTTTGCTGCACTTATGAATGTGAAAATGCACGATAAACCCTATGTACACGTACTTAGGGGTATATTCTTTGGCATTTTCTCTAGTATTTTTCTATAGTTTTTTGAAATACAAGTGCTAGATCATATGTATATGAATAAACATTCCTTATCTTAATGTATCATGGATTATAAGTAATCCTTCGTTCTGCATTCGTTGCAGGAACAATGGTACATTTGAGACGCACTCCGATAATCCCCAGAACGGCAGCTCAAAAGGAGAAGCTTGAGAACTTAAGAGTCAAGCTAGCTCTTTATCGATGGGACGCCAAAGATGATATGATGACACACATCATCAAAGTCAACAAAATGATACAGGATATCATTTGGAACGGTTTTGTAATGCCGGAATATGTAATGGTCGGAGCCCTAAAATGCACTATTCCTGAGGAGTTGGGAAGAATGCTTGATGAGGTTAGAGAAACCTTAAAGCGTCCAAGCTATAAGATGCTTATGGAGAATTTTCTGCAACAATATATAAGGGTCGGGGCAAGGAGAACATCAACCCTTGCATTGAATGGGTCTCGGCGCAAACCATGGCCCGGATCTAAGGGTTTTCCGGGAGCCTCTGTTTATGTTCCAAAGAAAATAAAACTTTCTAAAGAATTTTATGAGTCATTTCCTGTCTATGTGTTGGATTGGTACACTTGATATTGTTCTTTTAGGATTTGGAATCAATTCTGTATATGTTTCAAGTTGATATTACATGTTCTTAAATATTTGTGAATGTGTTATGATATATATATGGCTATGAATTTTTGGTGATTTCTCATTTTATATTGCCATATTATGTGTTATGTTATATGTGGGAAGTTCTTAAAAGTTTGAATAACTTTTGAAGAACCAATTTCTTTACATAAATGATTATGTTAATGGTAATTTCAAATTAGGTTTGTTAGACGATGATTGGGAACATAGTGAACTTTCGACTCTAAGGCCTTTTGTGAAACTATTCATTAATATGATTAGTTTATGTAATCATGATGCTGATGAAGCATTTAGATAGGCTTTAATAACTCGTGCGTATGTGTCTGAAATGTTCAGATACGATGGCTTTAGCAACTAAGAATATAGTGGCTGAACTTAATAAGGGAGAAAAATTGAATGGTGACAATTATGAGATTTGGAGTCTCAAGATTCAATATGTGCTGGAAGAGCAAGAGGCACTCGAAACTCTTAACCAGATTATGGAAGAACCTGAGGATGGGACAACTGCCCAACACAAGAGGGACAAAGATGCCTTTGCTGTTTGGAAAAGAAAGAACTCTCTTGCTCGCATTACGTTGCTAAGCAGCATGGACAATGACATCATGCAAGAGTTCGGACGTTTCCAGAGCGCCAAAGACATGTGGGCTGCACTGGCATCAAGATTTGATCGAACTTCTGTGACCAAACTAAGACAACTCACTATCCGTTTCGACTCATACAAGATGTCTCATGGAAAGACCATGAAACAACATTTGAGGCAGATGTCGAATATGATTAGTGAGCTAAAGGATGCCGGGCACATACTCACCGATGAACAAGCGGTGCGGGCGAGAATCCGCTCTTTGCCTCAAAGCCGGGAGCACATGAAGATCCATTTGACCCACAATGAGGGTATCAAGACCTTCGAGGATGCTATGAGGCATCTTGAGCTGGAAGAGGATCGCCTCATGGCGGCTAAGCCAGAAACTGATATTTACTTTGCTGGTTCTAGCTCGCATGGAGTTTCGAGCTCCAAGAGGAAGCACCCTGCTGGGTCAAAGAAGTGGAAAGGCAAAGGGCCAAGTCCTTCAGGGAAGAAGCCGAGGCTTAACCAACGGGAGAAAGGAAAGCGTCCTTTCAAGAAGAACATTTCAAGAGTGAAATGTTTCAACTGTGGCAAGAAGGGTCACTTTGCTCGCGACTGTGGCGAGCCAAAGAAGGTAGAAACCCTTAGCATTCATGAAAATGCTACTTATGTGTCTAGTTCAGTGTTTCTAACCGAATCTAATCCTTTGTGGACTGTAGACTCGGGAGCCACAGACCATGTAGCGAAGGACAGAGAAGCTTTCTTGGAGTTCCGACGAGTTCCACAAGGAACGAAGTGGATATACGTGGGGAACAATTCAAGAGTGGAGGTCAGAGGCATTGGCACCTGTCAACTACTTATGCGCGGTGGACGCACATTGTTCCTACATGATGTGCTATTTGCTCCAGAGATTCGTCGGAACTTAGTTTCAGTGTTGGTTTTAGTTAGACTTGGTTTTAATGTAAACTTCCATAACAATGGTGTAGACTTGTCTTTAGGTACAAGTTATTATGGTTCCGGATATTTCTTAGATGGTTTCATTGTATTAGATGTTGACTATTGTGAAGTTAATGTTAGTTATTTACATCATCTGATTCTTATGAGAATGATGTGAACGTGTGGCATGCTAGACTTGGTCATATTGGCCAACAAAGAATGAATAGATTGGCTAAAGATGGCTTATTGGGCAATATTAAAAATGTTGATTTGCCCATATGTGAGCATTGCCTAGAAGGAAAAACAACACGGAAACCATTTGGAAAAGGAACAAGAGCTGAAATTCCTTTGCAATTAATCCATACTGACATCTGTGGTCCAATGAATGTAAAAGCAAGGCACGGGTCTGTTTATTTCATCACATTCATTGACGATTATACTCGATTCGGACATGTCGATTTGATTTCTCATAAGTCCGAAGCTTTAAATTGATTTAAAAGATTTATGAGCTTAGTGGAAAATCAATTAGACAAGAAAATAAAAGCATTAAGATCCGATCGAGGTCGAGAATATCTGTCTGATCAGTTCAGAAATTTATGTGATGAAAAGGGAATAGAAAGACAACTGACTATTCCATATACTCCTCAACAAAATGGTGTTGCGGAAAGGAGAAACAGAACCTTAATGGAAATGGTTAGATCAATGATGGCACAAGCTAACTTGCCCATCACCTTTTGGGATGATGCTTTGTTGACTGCTGCCTACATACTTAACCGTGTGCCTTCTAAATCAGTTGCTTCTACTCCATATGAGTTATGGACAAGCAGAAAGCCTGATTTAAGCTTTCTAAAACCTTGGGGTTGTGCTGCCTATACTCGTGAGTCTTCTCACAAGTATGGAAAATTAGGCCCAAGAGGCAAAAATAGTATTTTTATAAGATACTCAAAGCACTCAAAAGGATATGTATTCATAGGTGAGCAAGAAAGCGGAAGTATTACTGAATTTGAATCACGAGATGTCACATTCTTAGAGAATGAATTTCCTAAAAAGGGCGAAGTAGGTGGTGATTACTCACTATACGAATATGTGGATCGTGATAGTGAAGTTAGTGGGAGCATTGTGACAAATGAAGAGTTGAATGCAACCCAGTCTCAATTGCAACCACTTAAAGAGACGACACCACCATTATCTCATTCGAGTGGGAGCGCAATGGAACGTGGTGAATCATCAGGAGTACAGCATTCCATACGACAGTCAAGTCGTAATAGGATTCCCCGTCGACGTTTTGACATTGAAGGAGAAGCTTTCATGATCGCCCCACAAGATGAAGATGAGCCGAAGAATGTGAACGATGCTCTAAAGTGCCCTGATAAGGAAGAATGGATACATGCAATGGAAGAGGAAATGGAGTCATTAAGATCAAACCAAGTTTGGGAATTGGTTGACCTTCCAAAAGGACGCAAAGCCATTGGGAACAAGTGGGTTCTCAAAATAAAGCGTAAGGCTGATGGCTCAATAGAGAGGTATAAGGCTCGCCTTGTGGCGAAAGGATATAATCAACAGGAAGGAGTTGACTTTGCAGAAACTTTTTCTCCTGTGGTTAGATTTACCTCTATTCGCCTTATTCTGGCAATAGTAGCTAGTATGGATCTGGAATTACATCAAATGGATGTAAAGACTGCATTCCTCAATGGAGAATTAGAGGAAGAAATTTATATGGAACAACCTG